TGTGGAGGTGTGTGTGCGTTCATAAGCGCATATATTAAATATATTTGTGTGTGAGAGTGTACAAACATGTGTAGGCACATATCTGGAGTGTATGTGGAGCAGGATATACAAATTGAATGTGGGGCAATTTCAAAATGTATGTATGTGGAAAGATCGGGTTTCATAGTCACGTCATATACAAAACATTGTGTGTTGGTTGTTTTTTATTCTTAATAAGAGTTTTACGGCACTTGAAATACAATAAGGTCAAATAAGTACCAAAGTTTAGAGGTGTTATAAAAGAGAAACGAACACCAAAGAGAAGGTGGTGAGATAAGGACGATAGATGTTTAATAGGAAGAAGGAGCAAACCACACCAGAGCACCCATCAACTACCCACATGTGTACATTCTCCATAAACTCCCAGCCCCTGATAGAATCTGAATATAGCATTCCCTCTAATACTCTGTTCAAAAAAGAGAAACTCACTGGTGGACCTGGGAGAAAAGCACAGGGCTCAGATACACACAGTGGAGTCCGCTTAAACTTAATCCGAAATCTGTGGGACCGTCTGAGTTTCTTCGGTTTAGCCGGATTTTCAGTTTAGAGAGGTTGCTCAAACAGAAGAAAAAAAAAAGCGGGTTTTATTTTCTTTCGGGTTACTGTTATTTTAGGTGTAAGCAGAGTCCACTGTATCGGTAAAAATAAGAGTCCAGGTCAATGACAGTGACAATACCTGGTAGACTGGGATGCAGATTTGCACAAATTTCTAAACAAATTGAATACATGAATAAATGAATAAGAATAAGCACAAAGAACATATTAGTCACTGGATTAAGGTATTATGGTATTAAATCACACCGGTTGGCCCCTGAAAAAAAACGTATAAGCATCCAGTTTTAAAAGGAAAGAAGGCAACCGAATACTCATTTTTGTCAGCCATCATCCATGAATAATATATGTACCTATGAATTAACGGAAGACAATTAGATTCGAGTGCATAGAACAGACGCATACATTTTCAGAGGCAAAACCATGGCAAACTACTCACCACACAAATTGTCTCCAATTTTAATGTACAGGTAGCCGTGGTCTCCAAAGTCTGAGCCCCATGAGTTGCGCACAATGTAATACGGGATCTCACCTAATCGGAGAGTACAGAAATAAACAATAATTTAAAGATCAGGAAATCCATTTCAGTATCATGAAATATACATGCCTTTTCGACTGACCATATTATGAGAGGGAAGCACATAAACACAATGCTTGTCACTTATGTTGAGTATAAACATTACTGAAAGAAGAGAAATAAAGCTTGATGTAGAATGTAACAACAGCATCGTTTACCGCTCACAACATGAATCTACACAAAGAAGTTTAGTTTGAGTAAAAGTTTTATGTCAATTGCAACACAAATAGGGTCAAATAAGTATAAAAATAGAGGTGTTACTAGAGAGTGACATACAAAAAGAAGAAGGAGGAGAGATAAGGATGATAGACAATTGATAGGAAAGAGGGAGCAAGAAACACCAGAGTGCCCACCAGCCACCAACTGCTAAAAAAAAAATAATGGTTCAAAAAGTCTTAAGATCAAGAGAGAATAACAATTAAATCATTGGCTCTAGTTATGCAATGGGTAAGCTCTCAAACTCTCAAACAACACCCTTTCAGTCAGCTATAAAAATTTGGAGAGAAGGTAAACAAATAATTACATCCTCAGAAAAGCTAGTCAAAACTCTGTTTACAGCATTAGCAACACAATAAGGTTATAAAATTGTTTTAAAAATTAGAAATGTTAAAAGAGAGAAACAAACACAAAAAAGAAGGTGGGGAGATCAGGACGTTAAATAGTTTATAGGAAAGAAGGAGCAAACCACACTAGAGCACCTGCCAACCATCCACTATTGAAACTCTTAATGAAGAAACCTCAGTGCCAACGCTACGGTAATGACTATTCATTTTCATAAGACAGGAAGGCCAAGATCCACCTGAGAATATAATTTGGAGGCAGATCTCAGACAGATGTGACACAGCTGCTTGAGGTAGAGAGGATCGCTCAGAACAGAGACAGGTGGAGAGCTCTTCTTGGCAGCCTATACTCAATACCAGAGTGAAAGAGGCAGATGATACTGGTTCACTTTTCACAACTCCAGGCAGTCATTTTTCGAATACTCACACTGTATTTTTGTGGTGACCGTTTCTAACTTTTTCCAACAAATGAACCTACTTCCAATAAGTAAATATATTCTATTCCACCTTCTTACGTAATTCTTTTCTAGCTTCTTACATAAACAAAACTAAATTAATATCTCTGATTAGAGGTAATTCCTCGACAGAAATAAGCACAAAACAAAAGTCACACCACGAAGCATACCCGTCAAATCATATCCAACAATCTGAACAGCATGGTTGATAAGATTGGAGCAGTGGAACTGTATGATCCCGCTGACATAGTTGTGCCAGGTTGAAGCATCAACAGCCACAGCGATCGGACCCCGAGAGGCAAGAAGAGCCAACATAGACTTTTCTTTGCCGGTGTAACTGCGGGGAACACAGGAAACAAATATACAATACAAACCGACGGTTCAAATACAGTCCAGCCTGCTCTGACAACCACATGTCCAAGACGACCCCTTTCACAAACAACCACTTCCCATCAACTCCCCACAAATTTTTCAATATTAAAATGACACTGTCCAAGAGGACTATATGTTTAAGACAACCATTTTTCTTCCACATATAACGTGGTCATCTTAATCTTTGACAGGTACAACTGAATCTAACTTGAAAAATTAGAGCAGACTCAGTATATTACAAGCACATGGCCAGGAATAAACTGAATTGTTTCAGAGAGTAAGTAAACATCTAAACAGCTAGGAATGCCAATAAAACTGCAAAAATAAGTCTCTTTGAGGGAAGCTACACATCTTCGTCTTATTTTTGTGTCCATTCTTGGCCTTGAGTCAAAGCACATGTTGTAAAAGTAGTCGAGCCAAGTTGTTAAAAAAACCCAAAAAATTATGTCACACCATGGTAATTAATTCTGGGTTCAACGAGTTAAGTTGTGATGTACGAAAAGTCGGCATGACAATACCATAACAGCCACATCTCCCTGAAATCACCAAAAAAAAATTGCGAGGAACAGACCACAACAGACCTGTGCTCGTCTGGTAATTAATTCTGGGTTCAATGAGTTAAGTTGTGAAGTACGAAAAGTCAGGATGACAATTTCATAACAACCACATTTCCCTGAGATCAGGTTGAGAAAGTGTACTACAAAAAAAATTGCGAGGAACAGACCACAAGAGACCTGTGCTCGTCTGTCTCAGAAGAGAGTCTTACCTGGTACAGTTGTAGCTGTCCACAGCGACCCGCGGCACTGACGCAGGCACCTTCTTGCAGCTGTCGGTGTGATCGGTCAGTGGGTACTTACTCTCTGAAACAACTCCATTCTGGGGAGTGGAGTTTGTCAAGTTATAATAAGTAGTCATTGCGATATAATAATAATAATAATAATAATAATAATAATAATAATAATAATAATAATAATAATGATAATAATAATAATAATCATCATCATCATCATCATCCTCATCATCCAGTGCCAGATCTGCGACAGACATCGGCGATCATGGTTCTCCATTCATTCCTTTGCTCGGACGCTTTAAAAAAAAGCTACATTTCGCGGATCTTTCCTTGTTACCCATTTGTTTAGGTTCCCTAAGTATGTTGTTCTGGGCCTAATAATAATAATATTAATAATAATAATAATAATAATAAAATAATAACAATAATAACAAAAATCTTCATTGTCATGAACAGGCATGTTCTATGCACTTTACATCTCTTATTACCCCAGTCAACCATACAACACTCAGTCAGAAACATTCTCGGCTTCCCAGGAAGCCAACAGTGTGAGCATCTGATTGAGTGCTTAAACACTAACAAACCGACAAGATCTTTCACTGTCAATGATGCTATCTTTTGTGAATCTTCTGGAGTAAATATGACAGATTATGACCACAAAGACTAAAATCACAATTAATGACATCACTCGTAGGGTAAAAAAAACAATTTCATAAGGGCAAATATTTTTTTGCTAATACTTGAGAAGAAACACTTAGAAACAGTAAACACTCGTCACGTGTGAGAGCTCCCACTAACAGATACACTTACAACAACACACTGACAGACACACTCACAACAACAACAACACACAGACAGACACGCTCACAACAACAACAACACACTGACAGACACGCTCACAACACCACACTGACAGACCCGCTCACAACAACAACAACACACTGACAGACACACTCAAAACAACAACAACACACTGACAGACACGCTCATAACAACACACAGACATCACCGACAGACACGCTCACAACAACAACACACTGAGAGACACACTCACAACAACAACAACACACAGGCACCATTGACAGACACGCTCACAACAACAACACACTGAGAGACACACTCACAACAACAACAACACACAGACACCACCAACAGACACGCTCACAACAACAACACACAGACATCACCGACAGACACGCTCACAACAACAACACACAGACACCACCGACAGACACGCTCACAACAACAACACACAGACACCACCGACAGACACGCTCACAACAACAACACACAGACACCACCGACAGACACGCTCACAACAACAACACACTGAGAGACACACTCACAACAACAACAACACACAGGCACCATTGACAGACACGCTCACAACAACAACACACTGAGAGACACACTCACAACAACAACACACAGACATCACCGACAGACACGCTCACAACAACAACACACAGACACCACCGACAG